TATCGTTTCGCGGTTTGCCCAAGCAGTTGGCAAGATTTGCATCGCATTGGGTTGGGGTAATAGGGTTTTACTTTTGAGCTTCTCCAAGATACTTCTAAGTTTTCAGGTAACTCAAAAAGATCAAAGGTAAGTAAAACTACACCCGTGGGTTGGGGTAGTGCTACTCCCTCCGTCCGCCTAGTAAATTTGTAAACATYGACTACACCTTGTCTTCTCATGTTTTCTATTTTCTCTTTCTCGCTGACATTGTTGAGACAGRGAGCAAAKATTGTACCTTTCACGCTATTGAGGTTGTCATGGTATTTCGCTTCAATTTCACACACACCAGGAAGTTTTTTGGTTGAAATGAACTTTTGGGCAATTTGGTTATTTTTTACCAGTTGCAGAAGATTACCAGCACGCAACTCAGAAATTGAGATGATTTCTTTGCTAATAGCTTCTAAGGCTTTGTGGACAGCGAAACAAGAATACTTCGAAATTGGCTAGTTTGAGTCCGTTGCATTAATGAGAATATATTTCGGGTTTTCTATCTTGGCCTGCGGCAGGTCAGGAAAGTTGAGGGGGGCGTAGGTGGGTTTCTTTCTTTTTGGCTGGGATCCAGAAGCAAGCAATGCAAACCTGTTATCCCCAAGGTTGGGCCGCCCGGGGGCCATATTAAACAAATCTTCACACTTGTTGCACTTATCTGCAATACACTTATGGATTGAAAGAATTCAAGAAGATTGGAAATATAAACACGTGTACGTATCCGAAAATGTACGATGCGCAGAATGTCAACAATACGTAAAGAGCGAAACACGACTTCCCAGAGCGAGCTCTTGTCTAAAACTGGTATATTAATATATGAACAGATATTTGTATTTAGTAGAATTTCGGCTTTGCTGATAAGTAAGTATGTTTAATGACATTTGAACACTTACTGAAGCTCACCTATCTTTTCACTACAGCAATCCGTCTGGCACATTTTCCAATCCTTTCGAAAGTTGCCGAAGTTATTATGGTTCCTAACCAGTAAAGGATCCTCATATTGTCTTGTCATATAGATCAATTCCACTACTTCCAAAAATCTCAAAACTTTTTGAAAAATTTATTTATCACAGATTAAAATCTATAATCGAAGAAAAAACTATTAATCCCATCACATCAGTTCGGTTTTAGAAACAAGCATTCAACAATAGAACAAATTTATAGAATAACATCCGAAATAGAAAAATCCCTGGAGAGGAGAAACGTATGCTCAGCTGTATTACTTGACATTGCTCAAGCGTTCAACAAGGTGCTTAGCGAAGGCCTTATGCAAAAACTAAAACCATATCTTCCGATTGAGTATTGTGCTCTTTTAGAATCGCATATGAGCGTGAGAGTTTTCCGTGCAAAACAAGGAAATGAATTCTCCAAAGATATTGAAGCACGAGTTCCTCAGGGAAGTATCTGAGGTCCACTTTTACATATTCTGTATACAAGACACTTACCGTTAGCACTAAACAGTATGGCTGCCACTTTTGCTGATGACACCGCAATACTACGCGTCGAAAAAACAGCAGAAAAAGCTGCGGTAAACCAGCAACATGCAATCAACTCTTTAATAAGTTGGAATAAAGAATAGAGAATGAAACTAAATGGTGGCAAATCGGTTCATGTGAACTTTACCAACAAAAAAATCACTTATCAACCTATAAGTGTTCTAGATGAATGCATACCAAAAACTGCCAAACATCTTGGTATCACGCTAAATATGTTGGAAGAGCATGTTAAAAGAAAAAATTCCACTTAATCCAAAGTTTTCGAAGATGAAACTGCTAATTGGGCCAAGGTCGAACCTGTCCATATACAACAAATATCTTCTTTATAAACAAATAATCAAGCCGATATGGTTATATGGTGCGCAACTGTCGGAATGTGCCAATGAGTGCAGTACTAATATTATACAACGTTTCAAAACATTGTATGTAATCCTCCTTAGTACTGCAGAAAGGCTGATATTCATTGCGACCTGAGGGTGAAAGGGCCGATGAAATAGAGTCAGGCAGATGCAAACTATAAAAGCCTTAAAGCACGTGTGAACGAGGAAGCGAGAAATCTTCTCTCAGGCACATGCCTCTCTAGTCGATTATGTCGAAAAAATCACATAGTTTAATTGGAAGCTAAAATATAAAGGAATTAATTATATATAATATATGTATTAAAATKATTATCAATTTATATGTTATTTGTTTTTAAGTTGTTTACTGCTCGTTAGTTTTGAAACTAGTTGTAGTATTTGTTGAAGAGCTTGAGATACCACATCATTTGTAGCCGACACTCTTCAAAGACCCTATCACTGGGTTTGACGATGATTTGTCACGCTTATAAATTTTCGCTCTGATTAAAGCCTCCGAATACAGTGATAAATCCCTCTGTGCCGTTGTCATTGCCTTAGTATATTTTTTGCAATGGATTTCACACAAAATTTTCTGGTTATACCATAATAAAGCCTGTGTAATACCGTAAACAAAATTTTCGTCTGGAATTGTAAAAATTCCAAGTCGAGCTGCTCAGATTCGTGTTCGTTTTCCTGTACATCTAGATGACGACCTTTGGGGGTTAGGTTCCAATCTAAATTTATGTCACAACTATCTTGAAAATTTTGCCTTTTCATAGAAATTAAACGACCTGCAATATATTGTATTTTATTGGCCGTAGGGGTACTGATATGCTGGCTAGGCCGGACCCCATAGAAATTCTTGGAAGTTTAATTATTCTAAAAACTTTATGTAATTAGGCATTGAACTTCCTTGAGTCATTCTTTAACGGTGGATATTATAATGGGATTTTTGGCACAATACTTTTGCAGTCTAAATCGTCGAAGAGATAATTTATTTTTTTTAACGGAGCCTTTGAACTTTGGCTACAGGTCATTTCTATGCTAGCCACGACCGAATTGCTCAGAACTTGGGTTGCACAGTTCAGGGACATGCTAAGATAATCGTAAGCCTTTGTTAGTTTTAGACCTATTTTGAAACACGTATTGCTCTGATCGATAGAGTAAAGTTTTTTCATAACTTTGAAGCTGGCTCTTCCATTTGGAGTAAAAAGATCGTATTTCATTAATGTATTACGAATGGACTTAAAAAAATGGCAACTGTAATATAAACAATATGTCTATAAACCTTCGTACAAATAAAAGAGGTTTTCTTCAGAAATTCTTAAAGAATATAAAAGTGAAGAATTAGACCAATTAATTTTAGTGCGGCTACTTTTATTCAATTTGAAAGCAGGAAGTCCATTTTTGGAAATATTTGAAAAGACATATTTCAATTGAAACTTAACCCTTTTATCATAAATAACAATACTTACTAGTAAATTAATTTCACGATAGTGTAACCTATTGGGACGCCATCGCAAAAGAAAGCTCTTCTTTAGTAAAGCAAAAAATAAATCGTCACGCAAAAAATTTTATGATTAATTGGACATGCAATTAATGTTCTGYGCTATTTTTTTTTCATTGTCACTGAAAACAGTGCCAATCGTGACGATCATCCTAGCGAATGTCACAGCATCAGAGCTTGAATTTACATCTGCAACTATTGCACATTTCCTAAGGTCTTGATACATTTTTCTAAATATTTTATAACTCTTAGATATTTCTATTCAATTTAGGACAATTACTTGGATAAAAACGTAACGATCGAGCAAATCATTCACGACTATCTAATGCGCATCCTACGTTGTTATTTTGAGGTTCTAATCCTAATCTATTTTTCCCTAAAATTGATTGCTACATCAGGACGGCCATAAGTAGTGGTGACGGGCAGGCACAACCAGAGTCAGCACTAGATGACTATGACTTAGTAATCTTAAACAGGGGAAAACCCCAAGCAATAGTTTGAATTTGGTAACGTACTGCGATTCGAAATGGTTTCGACAAATAAAAGGAGTGTCGGAAGGCCAAACTTTATCGAAAATCTTCCTCTTTTGCAAATAAAAAAGGGTTAAATTTGAATCAAATTATACGTACATATTGGAATTAATTTTTTTTTTTTATATACGTAAATAGGAAACGACGAAATTCCAATACGTAGGGGAATTTTGGGCCACGTTTTGATTTCGGTTAAAAAGTCACATAAAAGTTATTTTTTGTGAAAATTCCAAAGCACGGATTTGTAGTGCGAGTGGTAACCTTCCTTTTGATAACATTGGTTTGATAAAATTCTACAAAAATTTAAAAGTTATAGCCATTGGCGCAAAAAA